AATATGACTCATCTCAAACCATTCTGGGCTCATAGGCATCATCATGATTTTTCCCAGAGGAGTTTCTGGAATTTATGATAAGGAATGTATAAGAAAGAATGTATTTTTATAATAACTATAAACAAAAATGCTGCTTACATTCTTTTCCATGAATGTTCCACTGTTCAATACAAGTGAGGTCTTATATTTTTATACTTTTTATTTCTATTATAAAATCTACATAATAAAATATATAACAATTGCATATAAATGTTTTTTATTTCATAAACATTTTAGTGCATATATGTGTTACTAAAAAATCAAAAGATCACATCTTAAATTATATAAAAATTAAAATATATTATAGAAACACATTTTAAACATTTTATATAATATGATATTTATATATGAACTGATTTTATATATAATCAGAAAATATCAAATATCGAGTTTAAATAAAATATTAAAATATTAAAATTATATGTACAAACATTTTAAATATATATATTTTTTTTTTATTATATATAATTTGCATAAATATGATCATATAATATGATTTACATATATATGAATTGATTTCATAATGTAAAAGATGTAATCTTTTATGTAAAAGATCATATTTTTAAAAACATTATATACATAGTATATAACTATTATATATATATGATTTTATTTTATATAATAAAATATATAAATAATATATACAAATCGTATACAACAATTCTTGGACCAGTGGAATTTTTTTTTTACTTAATCTCTGAATTCATGATATTGAAAAAAATGTCACATTACTAGCCAGGAACACTATTGAGAGCATCAAATGTGTGATTAGCAAAAAAATGCTGTGAGGTATATATTTTACAGGCATATATATTTCACAGACAATTATTTTTGAAATAATTTTTACATTATTTCATCCCGTCTCGAATTCTCTGACCTGGACCGACAACAAAACTTCCACACCTGGTTCCCATTGACGATTGACAGTCACCTTAAGTGTGTGTGCATGCAGGACGAAGATAATGAATAAAAATGCTTAACTAGTTGTGCACGGTTGATTAACAAGTGTGGCTGTCAACATCTGCAGACAGTGACGTCACAGGATTGAATTTTGATTGAATTTAATTAGGCAGGTTGAACTGTTTGGCAAACAGTGAATCACATATAATTGGCACTCTGAGACTAAATGCCTCCTTCCGTCAGCTTCCAATTAATAAACAAGGGCGTCTGTACCTTTAAATTGGTCCTAAACTAAAGTAGCTCAACATTCAAGGATGAATGTTTCACACAGCACAATATTGCTCTTTTAAAGTCGCTACAAATCACAGCTCTTGCTTTCAAAACATAATAAAAAAAGCAATCTAAAGCAAATGGCAGCTTTGCAGTGCAGCACACCTACAATAGCAGACAGCAAACATTCATTCTTCTCTTTATGAGCAAGCCCGATGTTCAAGCGTCAATTCGAGCATCAAAAGGCCACCTGCCCACTGTTTCACATTAAAGCCCCAGAGGCTGCTGGGGGTAAACTGGGGTTCAACACTTTCACAACCAGCGCTCTTCAAACTAAGTCCTGCTAGCCCATATGAGGCACTTAATTGAACCCCTTACAAATGAATACTGTGGTAGCTTTACTGACACTAAATGATACCATATGCACATACTACATTATTCACTCCAATATAATCCACAGAACACCATTCTAGTACCACGTTTGACCTGTTTGAGGTCAGAAGGACCTGCCCTGTACAATGATTGCTCTTTACCAAACTGCCAGCTTAGGTTTATTTTACTCTGTCTGTATTATGTTTGTTTTTAATAGTTATGTAATCAGTTTAAGCGATCTATGCTATCAAGTCCTTCTGGGAAGTACTTTGGTTGGAGCAAGATGTACCATTTCTACAAAAAATTCAGTGAGATTTTTTAACTCTGCATCTACAAAATGCTAAATAAAGAATGTGTGTATATGGTTTTTTTTATGTTTTTATTCAGTTAATAAAGGTTCTGTAAATTTAATTTTTATATATTTCATTGTAACTTTGCAAACCTATGGTATTTTTGTACACGCAACTTAAATAGCTCACATGATTATTTTATAAGGCGGTGATTTCTTCTCAGTTTGTACAATGTGAATGATATGGAAATGTACCATTTTTAGAAGAATTTTTTTTTATTAAAGGTCCCCTGAAATGCTTAGAAACACACTCTATGTGTTGACGTCATTTTAACTGAAACAGGAAGACAGGGCGGGGCATATCAAGCAGCCCCGCCCCTTTTTAAAATAGCCAATAGCGTTTGTTTATATCACAGCTTGGGCTAGAGCCGTTCAGAGCCGTTGAGCTCCGTAAAGCCGCATTTGACAGGGTATGCCAGCCACAATCTCATCCATATTGCTATAAAATATAGCATTCTGTGTAGAATTCAAATAGCTCCGATACATTTTGTGGTCTGGCCGACTCGCGCATGTGATCCGCTCTGTGCTATCATGTCTCTGGACTGGAGCAGAGTGTGTGTTGGCGGTTAGCGTGACACAGCGCGAAACCAGACTTCTTTTTTTCCTCAATGGAAAGCATATTTACACTGTTTGAATCGTTCTCTGTCCCCTATATAGTATAGCCCATTCACTGTACAGAAAATACTAATTCTGTGGAGAAGTGACCGATTTCAGCCGCGGCTTCAGCGTCTATGTTATAGTGTAGGGGGCGGGCGCCTCGGATTCTAGAGAGCATTTGATTGGACAGAAAGTTTGATGAGAAGCTGAAGTACGATGTGACGTCAAAAAAATCAAAGTGACAAACTGCAAGCTTTGAATGCTTATATCTTCTAAATGCGAATTTTGTCACTGTTTTGGAGCACACTGCCTTATAGATAACCTTAAGACTAACATATTGATACTAACACCCAAAAAACTTTCATTTTGATTTAATGGGGACTTTAAGCGTGAACGTCCACCCCTGAATGTAACCATAAGTGCAGATCTTACAAAAATGTGCAAACAAGATTGTAAGAATTCATATCAATTAGCCACTGATTTGTATGATCTGAGTGTGATTTGAGTGTGTTGTTTTTTTCTCTTTAAATATCTTGTTTCACTTGAGAAGACAACACATTATTTTAAAGTAAAATGTCTTACGAATGCAACTGGCTATGATATATGGTGGGAACCACTAGTATGGAATATTTTGTGACTCAAAAGCCCAAATATAAATGTCACATGGCAAAGTCAAGCTCAAGTTTACAGAGAGAATAATAGCAATCTAAACGAACTCCAAGACCTCACTCAAATCAGACTGCCGTCCTACGAAATCATATGCTCATATGTGGCCTTGGACTCTGTCAGCACCAGCCCAGGAGCTCTGACCTCACTGGATGCAAATGTTTACATTCAGAACCAAGTTTGAGGAAGGGATACGATTGGTCAGGCACGTTGAGCACGTTGTCTCTAGAAAATTCTGGGATATACTTGTTTACTCACGGTCATTGATTGTAAAGGTTTCCCAATGAAGTTCACTGAAAAACAGATGTTTGCCTCATTGCACAGTCACACCTCTTTAGATATTGGCCACTATGTAAACTATCGATTGATCGTTACTGTCTATTCACTTTCAAAGTGCGTCATACTGTATTGCCCCATCCATTACAACATGGCATGAAACCAAAATCTGAGTTTTAGTCTGCTTGTGTAATTCCTCAGCAAACTAATGTTGGGACACATCCAAATCTTTCTTTATTTCTATTTAAATAATTCTATTTAAATCTGTTTTATTGAGTACCTTATGCTGATTTCCCACTTTCTCCGTCACCTCTGACCCCTCGTTCCCTGACTGCTGACCATAATAAGGTCCAGAGAACCCAGAGATTCAGAGCTGAAAGCAGCATTACAGGCCATCTAGCATGCCAATATTCAGTACACTGCCACAAGAATAAAGAATTCATATATATGCAAGATATTTTAACATATAACATATAATATATATATATTAGTTGAACTAAAACCCAAGTAGGCTCTCTTAAACTCAGCTAGAAGAAAGGAAGCTGAAAGACAGACCTCTTGCTAAGACATCCTGTTAAAATAAGAAGAAGGTACATGCAGCTGATATCGCATATGAAATACAAGTGCTGGAAAATATAAGCTACTTCTGAAGATTTACGCATCTCATTGAACATTTATAAATAGAACTGCCCTTAATTATTAGGACTGTTGTCAGTCCTGAAACAGATGATTAATCTTCTAATGATATGTTTAGCCACTTCATGGCCCCTGAGGACAAGAACATGCACCTTAAAATGAATGTGCCATAATGAAGACAGAAATACAATAAATTACTTTTTAAAAAACTAAAATAAATTAATAATAATATGCTTATATTTTTATTATTTATAATATTATTCATGAATATTATTGCCAAACAACTAACATTTATTTATTTATTTCAGCTTTTTAATTAAATGAATAAAAAAAATTTACTCCTAAGCCATGAAAAAAATATATAATGAATAAAAATAAGTGAATAAATAAATAAATCACTTTAAAGCATGTCCATCATAGAAGAGGGGTATTCCAATCATTGCATGTACGAACTGCATTTTTTATATATTTCTGAGTAACATAAATAAAATAGTGTATATATATATATATGTGTGTGTGTGTGTGTGTGTGTGTGTGCGTGCGTGCGTGCGTGTGTGTGTGTGAAATATATCTAGCTTTTTTATTTACTTTGTGAGTGATAAGTTACTCAGAATATACAGGCTATATATAAGCCTACATATATATATATATGTATAATAGGGTCCAGCTCTTGTAGACCATCACAAAGGAAAGGGTATAAGGGTATAACTGTATTTCTTTGCGTCAATAATAACTGATATATTCAGAACGAGTCCATTTTCCCCATAAATTATATTTAACTCAAGTATTTTGTTGCACTCATTTTTGTTTCTGATCTTATTAATTATGCATCTTCTCTTAAAAGTACTTAAAAGACGAACAGATCACACTTTGCCAATAAACATGTATTACTTACCGGTCAGTGAGCTCCAGGATTCAAAGATCTTCACGACTAAAATGAGAAATGCTGCTCTTGCTTTAAGTTTCCAGTGTTTCTGCTGCTTTATGTTCCTGTAGGTCTTCTCCTCGTGTGGTTTGATCACAATAGAGACAAAGCGCGTCTCTCACTGCTTTGAAAAATGAAGTGAATTAGTGAAGGGCTGTATGGATGAGCAGTGGGGGTTGTTTAGGTCCCGCCTTCTGTGGGTCTCGTCCAATGGCAGCCGACGAGCCCTTCAGTGGCCCCGCCTACTTCTTCCAAGAGCTCCAGAAGAAAACATGTATTGATAACCTGTTGGAAAAAACTATTATACACGAAAACTGTGCACACTCAAATACAAAAATTATACTGTATAAGAATATTGTGTATTAGTAAGTATAATTAATCCCTTCATATAATATTATAGTTTAATAGTTTGTTTATTTATTTATTTATTTTAAATGGTTTCCTCCACCTGTCTAAGAGCAAATATATTACAGTTGATCTTATTCTAGCTTTATTGGATTCTTAGAGGACTTTCATTTAAACATAAACATCAAAATAAACATAACCAAATAAAATTATTTCTAAAATAACAAAAATGCATACCTTTTAAATAAATTAAATTGATAAAAAATCATTTAAATAATTTAAATTAAGTCGCGTTACTGTTTTTATTAAAACTGTCATTTTTAGTTATTAAACAGCACAGCATTCAGTCCGGACCCTAAAGTATATTTCTACCGAGTCTTCAGAGCTGATAACTTCTGCCAACGTGCCCCTATAAAGGCAGAGATCCCTCGCCTGTGTGTCTGTGAACAAGTGTCCATTTTCACTTTAGATAGGGATGAGCCGTTTAACAATGCAGTGAAAGAGCTGCTGGTGTTCAACAGATGTCTAGTGTGCCGTTGTCTCCATTAGGGTTAAATATAGTGGTGGAAGTGTGTGTGTATACGTGAGTGTGTGGGGTTAGCAGAGGTCACATGGATAAAGCTCACCACTGCAGCTGTTCACCAACACTCCGGCTATTTGTGCCATAGAATGCCGCCTGAATTTAGCAGAGCATGAACGTCACGGGAGAGAAACCATTGGCTGTCTGCTGAATCCACATATGCACAGGTCAATAAACATTACTGACCTGTTAATTCATAAAGATTATTTATTGTCTGTGATATAAACATGTTACTTTTTGAATTGTGCACAACTTGCCATCAGTGTTGCTGTTAAAACTAATACTAAAACATTTTTAATTGTTAATTGACATTAAGATGAATTGAAATAAAAATAGAAAATACAAAACATTTTTTAATGTTAAAGGTGTCATATGATGCTTTTTTTAAAGATCATTATTTTGTGTATTTGGTGTAACAGAATATGTTGACATGCTTTAATGTTCAAAAACCACATTATTTTTCAAATAGTGTACATTATTGTAGGTCCTCTATGCCCCGCCTCTCTCAAACGCTTCGTTTTCTACAAAGTCCCTCCTTCCGACAAGCGCAGTCTGCTCTGATTGGCCAACTGACCCAGTGCATTGTGATTGGCCGAACACCGCACACACTCGTCGGAAATGTAACGCCCCTCACCATAATAGCGAGTTTCATCTTTCAAAATAAATGTAAAGACAGAGCCCGAAAGGGGAAGTACAAAAATTACTACCTGAAATTAAATTTAAACAATTATTTTTTTTTACATTTAAAAAAAAAAAAAAAAGCTATAATAAATGTGTCAAATGCACATGACAAAATTACTCAAACCTAAACTAAAATGAAAGTATAAAAATAAAAGCTTTAAATATGAATAACAAGCCACACATTTTGGTGCCATTAATATCTTACAGTGTGGGTTATCATTAACTAAATCTAAAACTAAAACTATTAAAACATTTTGTTAATTGAAATAAAAATGAAATAAAACAAATGAAAACTATTTTTAAGAACCAAAATATTTTTTTTAATCACATAAAATGAAATATAAAAATAGTGCAAATGCAAAATATTGCTAAACATATATAATAATGTCTTTAATAGGGATAGATGATTGTTCAAATCTTTAAGCCTGACGAATAGTACTATTAGCATGTTAACAATAACACTCAATCAAGTTCAGTCCCTCTGATGAGACGGTTGCCATGCCAGTTCATTAGATTCTCCTTGGTTTTCTTCACTCTTTCTGCTAATGAAAGACTGCAGCTGCCTTTCCATCGCAGAAAACAACACACCGCTTCTGCATATGTGTGTGAGTCACAGTGAGCGGTAAATTAGCATCTGCCAGTGCTGTCAAAACCACTGTACAGTTCCGCTCAACCAGACTAATTACGTTAATGAAATGTTTCCGTGGAGCATTTGCTTGTAATCTAAAGGGGAAACGTGCCCTCCTGACTCTCCCTGACCAGAAGAAATCATTCAGCTCTTTGATGTGACTGAACAATCTTCAAATCTTGTTGCATTGTTTGGATTCTTTCCTTATTGTGCAGGCAAGCAATTTATGAATGCATTCATTTACAACACATCTTACATTTATTGAAACTGTTAAAGATAAGCACTCCACTGAACAGAAACCATAAAATACTGTACATACAGTGCTGGGTAGTAAGTGATTAAATGTAATCTGGATTCCAGCGGCTAAATAGGTACAATATCTATATATTTTTTTCATTTTGATTGTTGTCATTGTAAAAAGATTTATTTTAATTTTACATTTTTATGATTTAATTAATTATTAGCCTTTTATTAAACGCACGAACCCCAAGCTTTGATAATAACAGTGAATGGAATATATTTTAATTCTCTTTGTATTTTTATATAAATATGGTACAAGATTATCCTATTTAAATCAATGTGATAAACGAGTTAGGTCAAAAGTAATCTAAAAGTAGTCCAATTATATTACATGAAATGTGTAATATAATGGATTATGTTATAGATTTTGTCGTGTAAATTTCTAGTATTTTTTTTCCCCCAAAAGTAGAAACTCTTCTATTTTGGCTCTCAGATAACAATCAGTGTTGCAGAGAGCGTTCTGATTGTTTAATTGAATTCAACTATCAATTCAAATATAATTAATCAATGAACTTTAGTAAAACTAAATACAAAATGTCCTTCTTGAAATAATTATTATGATGAACAAATAGCTCAGTCACTGTTTAACATGATGATGGTTTAAGATGATCCAGGCAGATGTTCTTGAGTTATGGTCAATTTATTGCAACATCTGATATGTCATTGGTGACATCCACAAATGTTTACTTACTACTGGTACATTTGTGCTGTTTTGAATCATGATTTGATTTGTTTTCTGTGATGCAACAAGTTGATTGTATTTCTTAGTCATAAGCGGACCTTATGTAAAATCCAGTCAGCACAGTAAAGCTGCAGGACACCTAATAGTTCTTCATATGAAAGCTGTCAGGTTCAGCAGGTTCACGTGTGCTGATCTGAGTGATCCCCGGAGGAACACGTCTGCCTAATATCAGGAGATTTGTGAGTGAACAAATGCATCAAATCCTGTCTGAATGCAGTGTCATGTTGTCCTTCACCGGCCCTTTCCAGCTGCCTCGCTGAGCGTAACCATGGAGATGTAATGTTAGGTGACTGGTTTATTTTAATGGCAAAGCAGTCATTGATTTTGGTGAAGCTCCTAACCACATTATCAGAGACACCACTGTCTATCACCATCTCTATCTATCTCTCTATCTATCTCTCTATCGTTTAACATTCTATTGTTTAACATTCTATCATCTATCTATCTATCTATCTATCTATCTATCTATCTATCTATCTATCTATCTATCTATCTATCTATCTATCTATCTATCTAAATTTATCAGATTTGTCAGGTTTGCAGCAGGACTTTTGACTAACACAACTCATCCTCTCTTTAGATTAAGAAACTACTTTCGCAACTGTCTATTTTTTTTCTTAGAGTTACAGCTTTTATCCGTAATGTACTGTTTGCAGAGCGCAGTGGGTCGTTCGCTCACACGGACTCCTGACTGGGTGATCTGGTACAAATCTGGACAACAACTTATTAACATCCCCACACATCCCCAAAACTGATAATGTCTCCAGCATGTAAAACAGCACGTTGCTGAATGTTTCCATATGCAAGAGGGTCACATTATGGTTATTATCTGCTCAATACCCAAATGTATATATATATATATATGTATATTAAAAAAGCAGTAATATAGGAAATAAATATAGTATATATTTACTTTTTGTTGTGACTTCATGTGACATCAGTATTGTAAAGACTCCAGATGCTTCACCAGGAGCAATTAAAGTGTAACTAGAGCTAGAATAATCATGAAGTGAATCTTTAAATAAGGTATAATATGTGGCATGTAATTAATGAGTGTATACGCAATCAGGCATCTCTAATCAGCAGCAACTGTTATAAACTCAAAATAAAAACAAGGTTTCAGGACTAGCAATCTTAGATTTGTTAATCAGCATCCCTCGTCAGCTTATGCTTCATTAAACAGCAATGTGCTGAACTTCAGCGGGGTGCTCTCACACAGTGATGGGAATGCATGGGAATGCCAAGGAACGCCAAGTCCAGACAGAAGTCAATTTGGCTAAGAGTTTACCAATGAGGGCTGAACAGCAGCCAACATGAAGTACTTCAGGACTACTGGGAGCTTTTTCAAAACCACTGACCCTAAATATTAAACTTTGGCATGTATCTTACACCCCAAAGTCTGTGCTACAGACACATTGAAGGATGGATCTGAGCCATATCTAGAAACCAGAACATCACAGCAACCACAAAGCAACACCACCCATCCAATCAGAAAACATGCAATACACAAAGTGCAGGTTTTTCTGAAGCAGCCGGAGCTGAAGTGTTTTGCTCAAGTGGATAGTGGAGAAGAAAAACAGAGCAAGTCTTCAGATAATGAAGCACTCATACTGGGGTTTGAACCCGCTACCTTTAAATTGTCAGAACTAATCAATATCTACTAAACTCTTAAAAATAAAGGTTTCAAAAGGGGGTTTGGATTCCATAGAACCATTTTGGCTTCCTAGAGAACCTTTCAGTTAACAGTTCTAAAAAGAACCACTGTTTTTTCGTAGTGTATTTTAAAAATCTAAATTCTAAAGAACCTTTTTTGGAATGGATATTTGGAAGTTAAATTTTCCTCACCAATGACAATAAAGAAC